CTATGGTGAGTGGGATAGTGAGTCAATTAAAACAAGTGGTTTGGATTTAGAAGGCCATACTTGAGGACGCAGATGACCACAAGTGGCCTCGAGGCTGTAGCTTCCCCACCCCTGAATTAAGGGGATGTAAAAGAATTGCCTTGTCATGGTGAGGGCCCAGTTGAAATTATGCAACATAAATTTGTTGTGGATCCAGTAAACATAGTTTTGTGATTTTCTCGAGCTTTCTTCAGCAGCACATGGGGAGGAGTAGAGACAGCAGATGGTACAAGTAAACCAAGGCTGAGGCATGGCAGGGCAAGGTTGGTGATTGAATAAGAGGGCAAGGGACTCAAGAGGGCAGTATAGAGTTGAACTGGTTCACCCAGGAGTCAAGATGGGAAAAGGAAGAGAGAGTAACCAGTGCTGGTTTGACAGCCTGGGAAAAAACTAAGAGGTCTTGGGATTAGAGGTCATAGTGAGCTCACGATGACAAAAAGGAGAGTAGGATGACTGACAGCAGATTGTGATTAGATAAGAGAATTTCTGAGTTCACGAACATGGAAATGGTGCATTTGTGGGTAATGATAAGACCAAAGATGTAGCTATCTCTGTGTATCTGTGGAGGGGTGGAGGAGTAGGTCATGGAAAATGAGTAAATTGAAGATTTAGGAGATTAGGGTGTTTGAGAAAATATCAAAATGTATGTTAAAGTCTCCTAGTATAAGGGTCAGAGCTGGGGAAGAGAGAAAGACTATGAATCAGGCACTGGATTCATTCAGGAAAGAAGGGGAATGCTCTTGGGGTTGACAGACAACAAACTTTTCCTAATCAAAATACTCCCCCTTTGGCTTTTAATCCTCTATTTGTATGGTCTCCCTCTATTAGAATGCAAGAGAACTGACTGCCTCCACTTTTTATTTGTATCCCCAGTACTTATGTGCTTGGCATGTAGTGCTTATTAAAAGCTTTTTCATTCTTCCTTCAAACCTAGTGTTCTAGCTACTAAGCCACATTCCCTCTGAGTTGGGCAATTCACCCACTTAACAGCTTGATTGACTCTACCTTCCTATTCTCTTGCTCTCTTTAAAAGGATCCATAAACATATCCTCTTTGCCCCCTTCTTTTCCTCTTTTTTTCCTCTTTTTTTTTCTGACTTCTTTCAGAAACATCTTTCCCTTTCCCTCTCTTTGGACACTAGTCCAAACTGTCTACTTTTCCTTTCTTCCCATGAACCCGTATCCTAGTTTCAGATCTACCTTCAAGACTCACATTTTTTTTCCTTTCAGATAATAATAATGATGCCTCATGCATGTTTTTCCCTTTCAAATAATAATGATTATAATAATTCCTATTTATATGGCTCTAAGTTTTACCAACACTTTGATAATAACAAATATATAAGGAAGGAATATGAAGTTAATAGATCATAAAATGCCATGAACCTGCTATACTTTGGATTATAGCAGAGTTTCTTACGATATTCTTGTGGATAAGATGATAAAGTATAGATTGAATAACAGTGTTGGTAGGTAAAGATGCAGATGATTGAACGAAAGTACCCAAAGATTGTTGGTTAACCCAATGATTTGACGCTGGGAGGATTCTCCAGTAGTATATTACGAGGACCTGTCCTTGGCTTTTGTCTGTTCCAAACATTCCTCAATGACTTGGATAAAGAGAGACCTGTTTATTAAATCTGCCAATGGAAAGGCCAGCTGATAAAGCAGATGACAGAATAAAGATTTTTTTTTTTAAATTCTCAACAGGTTGGAACCTTGTTCAAATTAACCAGAGGTAATGTTAAGTTCTGCATCTAGGCTAAAAAAGTAAATTGCACAAGCATAACATTGGGGAGAACCCATATAGGAAAAGTACACTTGAAGAAGACCTAAGGTTTTAATTGACTTGAAACTAATATGAGGCAAACAGTAATCTATCTAACACTATCCTAGGCTTTCTTGATATAAGTAGAATGTTTGGAAGGCTAGGAGCAATAGTCCCCCTGTACTTTGTGCTGGTCTGATCACATCTGGAGTGTGTGTTCATTTCTGGTTGTTGAACTTTAAGTAGGGCACCAGAATGTTTTGAAAAGAACACGACTAGGAACTATACTTCTTCATCAGTGTAATGAAAAACCCAAGTGTCACTGGTTCTTTTGTGTGTTCTTGGGTAAAGTAACAATCTCTAGGCCTCAGTTTCCTCCTCTCTAAAATGAAGGGAATGATACACTACCTACCTCATGGAGTTGTTTTAGGGAAATTGCTTTGTGAACCTTAAATCATTACATAGACGTGAGTTATCATGCCCTCTAAAACCTCTTCCAATAAGTCTATGATTCTTTAACAAGCTAATTGTGTCCAGAAGAGTCCTGTCCAAAAATGAGACCAATTGCTGCATAAAGTAGAGAGCTTTCTGTCCAAAGAGGTGTTTAGGAAGAGGCTGAATAGCTACCAGTCAGGGATTCTGTAGGGGAGTTTCTACATTGGGTGGGAGATTAGATAAGTTCCATATTACCTGTTGATTGTGGGAAGCACTATGGTTTGATGGAAAGAGAAATGTACTGGAAATCAGGAGACCATCATGGACAAGTAATTTCACTTATCTAAGCTTCACTTTCTTCATCTGTACAGGGAGGGGATTGATGTAGATGAACCATAAGGACATTACGTGTGCTAAGGGCCCTTCCAGCTGTGACATCCTGTATTCTGAGAGTTTCTTCATCAAGTATATCTGATGATTCTGCAGATTAAGTTGATAAGCGGCACCAGGCAAGTGCAACAACTGGTTAGTATGTAAAACTCGTGAGGTTGTTACTAACAAAGTTTTCAAGAATCATTTTATAATTTAATTAAAAGATACCTTGAAAGGATTAAATGACTGGTGTTGTAATGTATGGTGAGAGATTCTGAAAGGAGACCTGAGCAACAATGCACCGTATCTAAATATAAAAGATTGGCCTCTCCCAGCCCAAAGGTCTTCATAGAAACCCAGAGAATAATGGTCCTCTTGGGTTATTAAAAAAAAATTACTTTAGGTCTTCACCACCTGTTGTACTCTCTAATTACAGTGACAAAAACCATGCGATTAACTGCTGGATTGTTAAAGAAGTGAAGCAAGGCAGGAGTTTTTGCACTACCTCTGAATTATAGGAACTTTCAGACGCTCTCTGAGGTTGTCAAGAAAAGGAAGCCCACACACATGCACATCCTCTCTCGCCTCATCAAACAAATTATTTTCTTGGCAAACAGGAAATCACTATAAACAGTTCACTCATCTGAGTTTAAAAGAAAAATGCCATTTGAAGCCCAAGGGTCATTCTAGAGGCAACCATCTTGATGGCTTAATAGGAATTACACTGGCCTGAAATAAAGGGAAATAATCTTCAAAGAGGAACCTTAGAGAGGTGGAAATTATAGGCCAGGGAAGTGATTTGGCTTACTCAAAGTTACAGCAATATTAAATTGCACAGGCAGGGTTTGAATCCAGGTCCAGATAGTTCCCATATAACTGACCATCCTTTCTGCCACCCCATGGAGGGCTAGGGCCACTGCAGCCTGGGATTTCTGAAGATGCAGGAAATAGGGTAGTTTTCAGAGAACGGCCTTACTGTTCCTGGGCTTTGGTATAGACTGGATCTGATTCTAGGAAATGATTTTGATGTATTTTTTTATTTGCTAATTTTCTTCTACTAACTACTATCAGTCAACCCTAAAATCCACCTTAGGGGAAAGTCAGGTGGCTAGGCAAGAGAGGACCCAATAAAGAGAAGATGGTTAAATACTCTGCTCAGTCACAGGATGGGGGTGGGGGGGAGGGCCTCTAAAATCTATGAGTGTTTTCTCATTGGGTGTCTTCAAGGGGAAGCTGGATGTTGTGGGTATTCCTGCTCATGTATGGGATGCTCTCTGAGATCCTTCCCAAAGCTGAAACTTTGTGACAAACAGTGGCAGGATTTTTTTTATTTTTATTTTTTTAGGGCAAAGATCCAGAAAACTAGCTCGTTTTGAGACCCTGAATATAATAAGATGGAGGCAGATAGTCATGACTTTCTCTTTAGGCTTTTCCTTCTTTTCAAAATGATATGAGATTTGTCAGCAAGCCACCTCACTCAGTACCTATGCTTCCTTTCTGTCTTAGCCTTAGAGGCTGGCTTGGCACTGGCCAATTGCTCTATATAGAACATTCTTGGAGGTGGGGAGGAGGGGCGGTTTTAGGGAGGTTTCCACCTTGGGAGGTTTTAGGGGAAGTCCTCATTCAATTTTCATTGTACAAGGTCCTTGTCTAGTGCCTCTGGGCTTCATACTATGTCTCACAGAAAATCTTCCCACATGCGTTTGAGGGAGGGGTGGGGGGAGGTGTGGTGCTAATGGAAAGAGCCTTGGGTTGGGATTCAGGAGAACTGAGTTCTAATCCCGACTGTCACTAAATTTCGAAGTAATTAGTCAGTAATTCCCCTTTCTGGGTTTCAGTTTCCTCACCTAGCAAATGGGCACGTGTCCTGAAATGCCTCTCTCTTCCCTTTCCTCCTCCTATCCACCACCTCAAAACCTTCTCTCTTTCCTACCAGGCCGCTGTTTTGTGCAAATGGAAACGTGTTTGTTTCCTACTTCCTCAGCGGTTAAAAACGGGCCCTTAAAAAAATCCGCTCCCCTCTTATGACAGCTCCCTCCCTTCCTAGCACTTATTTTTCTGCGACCACCCCCCTAGCCCCACATCCCCTCACATCCCAGGCCCCTCTTTCACTGCCAGCGCTTCCCCGTCCTAACCCCTTTTCTTCAGTCCCCTTCTCATTCCAGCCCACTCCTCCAGGCCGGGTCCCAACCCTTCCCCCGAGACACTGCGGCCCCACTCCCCCAGCCTCCTCCCCAGGACCCGCCTTGGAGGAGGAGCCGAGGAGGCGGGAGCAGAAGCTCAGTCTCCCGAGCCGGCTTCGGAGGGCGGCAGCAGTAGCAGCCACAGCCACAGCCGCGGTGGGAAGACGGACCCACAGGCACGGAGGGCCAAGGGGCCGCGCCGGGGGCCGGACGGAGCCTGGACCGGCTGCAGCCGCTGCCGCCCAGATCTGGGCTCCTGAACGCGGGTGAGTTACCGGAGGCGTCCTTTTCTTCCTTCCTCTGGCCTGTCTCAAGCTTTCTGGGCACCCGCGGATGGTTTTGCGGGGCCGGCCCAGTACCAGGGGTTCGGGGGGCTGGAATAGCAAATGACAGGGTTTGGAGGCTGCAGCTTGGGGCTAGGGTTGGGGACACTAGAGGCCGGGACCAAAATAGAAGGGGATCAGGGACTCGGCCACGGGGAGTACCTGGGGTCCGGGGCTTGGCGCTCCTGGGCTAACTGGAGGTTGGAAGCCAGGGCTACTGGGTTTCTTGGGACCCAGGGTCAGGGTGCTCAAGTCCTGGGGTGCCAGGTTTTTGGGGACCGAGGTACTAGGGGCTAGGAGCTGGGGGTACAGTGTGGCCCGGGGTCTGGGAATTCAAGGGTCCACCTTCCTCCTTCCCTGTAATCCGGGGAGCCGAGTCAGGTGTGTGCCGCGAGCCTGCCGAGAACCAACCCCGGATGGTGGTGAATCTGGGGGGCCCACGTCGGTGAGGAGAGGAGAGGAAGGCAGCAGACGCCGGGCCGCGGGTCCTGTCCCCGGTTCGTTTCCGTAGAGACCTCTCGGGGGCTGTTTCAAGGGGGCCAGCTTTTCTTCTACTGGTGGCAGATTAGGAATCCGGAGGGAGCGGCGCTGAGTACGCCCTCTCCGGGTCGGGGAAGGCAGCTCCTCTGCCTGAGCATCCCCGCACCTGCCCACTCGCCCACCCGATGTGTGGCCAGTGAAATAACTCGGTCTAGTTGCACTCACACGGGCTGACAACCAGATCAATCTACAGACTTTTTTCTAGGTGAGTCCAGGCGCTCTCAGAAGTTGAATCTTCAGTATATTGGGGCGGGGGGTTGTTTAAAAACCACAGCTTTTCAAACCCACTTTGGACCTGAAATGTTGCTTGGTAACTGAGCTTGCAGTGGTAAAGGTGGGAGAAGAGATAACGAATCCTTTCCACAGCCCTTCGCATCAGGTCTGAGCCTGCAGGTGCCTCAGCTTCCCCTTTGACAAACTCCAGATAGACCATCTCTCTAGGAGTTAAGAACATGCATGGACACTTACAGTCAGGACCCAAAGTAAGCTTTCATGAAGCCCTGGACCTAAAGAAATATTTGCATCTCCTTTCCCCAGAAGTCAGGTTAAAGAGATTTTCCCAAGGTCACCCACAGAGCCAAGGTCAGCCTTAGTTCCCATATCAGAACCTGGGAGTTGGGACACCCTAATGTATGCATCCCTCTCCTGTCCTCTGCTCTGTTGGCTTCGAGTTCCAATTTGCCAAGTTGCTTTTCTGGTGAAAGGGCCTTTCTAAGTGGCCAGAGGATAATAGCAAGGTCTCCTTATAGTCCACTTGGACTGTCATTCCTCTGGCTTGGGGTGGGCATAGCTGCTTTCCTCCTCAGCTTTATCAGAATGTATCTTAATGTATGTTAACAGATAGCTGCTAATTGAATTCTTAAAATCTGCCCCTCCCCCAAAGCCTGTACAGTACCCATCTCTGAATGCCCCAAATGTTTGTGACCTCCGGCAAAGAGAGATGAATGTTTTATAAAAAAAGGTTTAAAAAACATAAAGAGGAGGCTTAATGGGAGCAGTACCATGTGATTACATTTGAAATAATGACACCCCTGTTCTCTCCCCTTCCTAACTGTGCATCCATCCAGCTGCACTGGAGCAGGGCTGCACCAGGTGCCCCTGTGAATCTGGCTCTGTGGCCATGCCTAATATCAGGCTCTCCTTTTCTGCCCAAGTCCTCTCTCAGGGGAGGGCTTTGGTTAAATACCCTTAACCTACACTGCTGGTTGTCCTGAAGTGCTCAAGGGAAAGCTAGAGACTGCTGCTTTTCTCAAGGATCTCTTTTTAGTTTGTTATTGTTTCCCTCTGTAGGACCACAATGAGGGGGGCGGGGTTTGGAGAGACTGGGGACATCTTGATATAATATTTCTCCAATTCCATAAAATATAATTTCTATTCTGGAGAAGAACTTGCTGGAGATGACCCAGCTTGGCAGCTGCCTGTATAACTATAGTAGGATATAGTTAGTTGTCTGAAGATAGTATGTCAGTAGATCTTTCCTGCCATCTCCCGCAGTCAATCCCCATTGCAGCCAAAATACTCAATTTCCTGATCTGTAAAATGAAGACATTGGATTTGATGTGACATCTGAGGTCTCTTCTAGCTCAGAGTCTATGATACTTGATCCAAAATCTAAGACTTTTCACTATACTGCCAATTCAACAGCCCCTAACCTCCATCTTATCTTGCTGTCTGATAGTTTGGGCTTGCTCTTCCCATTCTCAAACCTTGCCACCACATTCTGCATCCATTTTTCCAAACTATGTTAATCAAACTGTTTCTGACTCTGCCCTGCCCTCCTTTATCCCCCAAGAACTTCATTGGAAACCCATTTATTCCTCCCTTCATTCAAAACTGAGTGCCTATTAAAACAAAAAATTTTTTCAATTCACATTGAGAAAGAAGAAAAATAAAAAAAACTTATAATAAACATGCATAGTCAAGCAAGAAAAAATCCCACATGGGCCATGGCCAAATATTTTTATCTCATTTTGCATTTTGAGACCCTCACCTTTCTGTCAGTCAGTGAGTAGCATTCTTCATTATTAGCTCCTGGGAATCATGGTTGGTCATTGTATTGATCAGAGTTTTAAAATCTTTTAAAGTCCCTCCTCCCCCATACAATGTTATTGTTGTGTATATTGTTTTCCTGGTTCTGTTGACTTCACTTCACATCAGATGTTCATACAAATCTTCCCAGGTTTCTTTGAATGCATCCCTTTCATCATTTCTTACTGCACAATAATATTCCATTTTATTCTTATTTCACATTTGTTCAGCCATTTTCCCAACTGATAGGAATGGTGTCAGTTCCCTTTGTTTCCAGTTCTCTGCCCCCACAAGAAAAGAGCTACTGTAGATATTTTTGTACATGTGAGTCCTTTTCATCTTTCTTTGATCTCTAGTAGTGGTATCTCTGGATCAAAGGGTAAATGTAGTTTAATAACTTTTTGGACATAGTACTCAGTTCAGAGCCTTGAATGTAGTGTGAACTATGGGGAATTCAAAGATGAGTAAGACAAGCCACTTGGTGTAGTGAAAAACATGGGATTTCTAGTCATAGGTTCATAGACTTAGACCTGTGAGGGTCACTTAGTACAAACCCCTCATCATACAAATGAGGAACCTGAGGTGAGAAGAAAGAGTGATCTGCCCTCTAGTAAGTGGCAGACCCAGGACTGAACCTACCTCTTCTTGACTCCAAATCCAGCACTCTTTCCTCTATACCACAGTGCCTCTTAACAGAATTCAAATCCCAGTTCAGTAACTTACTAGCTGTCATTTTCCATCCTTTGGTCTTTGTTCCCTCATTTGTAAAGTGAGTGGGTTAGACTAAATGACCTCAAAGTTCCCTGCTTTCAAGGAGATTTCAAACTTTCCTCAACCCATTTCTTCCTGATATAGATAGAATCACAGATTCAGCCTTAAAGCTGGAAGGAAACTTCCAACCCATACCTGAACAACAAGTCCCTCTACATCATACCTGACAAAAGCCATTCAACTCCTTTTTGATGACTTCTAGGGAGGAATTCACTATTTTATGAGGCATTATTTTTAGACATTTCTAATTATTGGGTACTTTTTCTCCCATCAAATACTAAATTTACTTCATTGCCAACTCCCCTCTCCCCCAATCTTTGATTTTAGCTCTACACATTAGGGCCAAAAAAGAAGTCTAATCCTCCATATAGGCATGCTTCAAATTCTCAACTACATATATCATGTCACCTCTAAGTATCTTCACCATACTATACATTCCCAATTCATTCAATCTCATTTCTTATGGCATGAGCTGAAGGCTCTTCACCAACTCTGTTGCTGTTCCCTGGACCATCTAGTTTATTATTGACTTCCATAACTGAGGACACTACTCCAAATGGAGTTTGGCTGGGGCAGAGTGCCACAGGACTCTCACTTTTCTAATCCTGGGCACTATGAGTCTCTTAATGCAGCATAAGAATACATTTACTTTCTTGGCTACCATGTCACCCTGTTGGCTCAAATTGAGTTTGCAGTTTTGGCTATTTAGCCATGCTTTCCTTACGTTAGTGGTGTCCCACTCAAATACCAGCCACATATTGAGTTAGAAAGCCACAAATTAAAATTATCTATGTTGTATTGCATTTTTATTTATTTTGCTAAACATTTCCCAATTACTAATTACATTTTAATCTGGGGGGTTGGGGTGGGGTGACACTTGAAAGTGGCATGGGGAAGATTCGAGTTTGATGCCTCTGCTTTACATTATAGTTGTAAAATTAATTTTTTACACCTAAGTAAGACTTTAGCCATATTAATGTTGCTACATTTTATTCAATTCAGCCTGATATTCTAGCTTTCAAGATATTTTCAAGTCTTGACTCTGTCATCTAGTGTGTTAGTTATTCCTCCTGGTTTGGGGTCATCTAAAAATCTTATATGCATAGAATCTATCCCTCCATCCAAGACACTGATAAAAATGTCACATTATTGTAACCCCAGGTTTTCATCCTTGTCCTCCTGCTCCCACTCCCTCCTATCTACCTGAAGTCCTTTTATGATGGAATGAGAGATCAGTTTCTTCTTTGTATCCCAAGTGCGTTGGGATAGTGAGGGGGTGAAGAGCTGATTGCTGGGAGACTTCACTGGTGACATGCTTCCAAGCTGACAATTCATCTAATTCTGAACCCAGCTAATTATTACTATGTAGTCCACATCTCTCCACATTTCCATGAAAATAGCATGAGTGACTACCAAACACTTTGCTAAAATCTGGGTAAATTCTATCGCCTTCAGTCTCCCCTCAGTAGAAAATGTAGGATCCTTGAGGAGAATGGTAATTTTTTATTTGGTCTCTGTTCACCTGTATTGCTAATACATGCTTGTTGGATTGGAATCCCCTAGTCTACAAGTCTAGTACTTCTGTCAAAAGAGGAAAATAAGTT